CTATATTGTGGCCCAATATCTGACAGATCTGCCTCCGGGGGCTCTGGGTGGAGGACCTCTCGGAATAGGGCTGCTTTCTCCTTTGGGGCTGTGTAACTCGTGTTATTGTAGTGTAACGTTGGGGTAAACGTGGCACGTGGTTTGCCCCTATTGCGGACCCAACGGGCAATTCTCCAGAATCCATCTATTGACTCTGTTGCCTGCTCAATTCGTTGGCGATGTAGATCTCGTGCGAGCTCATTGGTGCGCCGTTTCATCTCTTTCCTAGCCTCTGCGTAGTCCTCCCATGCCTGATCTGTATTTATACGACGTGCGTGTCGTCTACACCTAGATACGTGGTGTTTAAGCTTCGCCATCTCTGGGGTGTAGCCCGCTCGTGAGTAGATGCTGATCTGTTTTGTAGGTGTCGCTTGCTCAGCTGCCTGATTGATTGCCTCAACTAGATAGCGGATCGCCTCATTGATCGCCTCATTGTCATTGAGCTCCCTTGGGTGCCAATTGTATATGTCCATCAGTTTAAGGAAGAGGTCCCAATCTGTTGCATTCCACTGCTTGCGAACCAATGGAGGAACACGTATAGCTGTAAGGTCAAATTGAGTGGAGATTGGGACATGATCTGCTCCGTACCACCACTCTGGCTTGGTGTCGCAGCTCACTACCCGGTTGGCTAGATTGTGCGATGCCCACACCAGATCAATTGTAGATTTGGCGTTAACCCTCTCGTACGTGATCGTGCCTGGTGGCAAGAGCTGCTCGAGCCCATGCTCATCCATAAGATTATCAATTCGTGCCTCCTCGTCAACGTGTCGGTACCGCGGGCCCGCCCACAGCGGGTGATGTCGGTTGAAGTCCCCCAATACAATATGCTGCGCCCTAGGTGCCATGGCGGTTTGCAGGGCGCTAATTACAGATTCCTCGTTGCTATTGACTCCTGGATTGTATACATTGTGAATATGGATGGTTCCATGGGCGGCTGTATGAAGTGTCAATGTGCTCAGATCTCTATTATGGTATTGGACCTCCCATGTGGCTGGATCTAGCCCTCTATTGACGTAGAAACAGACTCGTGGGCGTTTCTTGTATTCTTCCTTGGGTGTGGGCTGCAGTAGGATATGGAAGCTGCCCTTGAGCGCTAGTGAGTATGTTGTTAGTGGGTCGGTATGTTTGTTGATGTAGGGTTCCTGGATAGCCAGGATATCGTAATTTTGCACCTCGCTCTCACCAAAGAGATGCATCTGGACCTCGTCCCGCGATTTCCAGCAGTTAGCCTGCAGGATTTGTAGTCGATTGGTGTTACGATACATTACTGATTGTTAGCCCAGGTGCTGTCTTCAAGGTTCGTGGTCATTAGCGTATCAGCCTCCTGAGCTGGCTCGATTGGATCCTGAGGGGCTTCGTGGATTGATGGCTGGGTAAGTTCATCCTCAGATGAGTCATCGTCTGGGATCGTACGCACACTCTTACTTCGGCGGACAGTCCTAACAGCTTGCACATGTGAAATTTCTAGTGGAGCAATATCTGATTGCAGAACCGGGGTTCCTGGTGGAGGCTTTGTATCCTGACGTGCACGTGTGTTATATGTATATTTGATCTGGGTCTCAGGTCCTGTCTTAGGTTCAGGATTAGGATCTGCATCTATAACTAGATCTTTATCCCACTGCGCTCTCATAGGCTTTTTCGAGGATCTATTGGTAGGGTCACCTGATGTAGGGCTTATCGGCTCGGGCTCAGATCGTTCTGCCACTCGTTTTCGGGCGGCTGCTGCGCTCTTACTTCTTGAGTTGGCAGATCGACGTGTGGTGGCTGTACGAGCCGGTGCGCGAGGACTTCGCTCTGTATTGGCTGCTTCAGCTGGTGTAGGGTCATTTGGTGAGATGGCTCCGGGCTGACTATTGCCAGGTCGTATCACAGGAGTGTGATATTGTGGGCCGTATGTACGTCGTTGATGTGCCTCTGCGAGGCATGTAGCTCGTATCGGGCACTCCCTCGCGTACGCAAAGTGTTTCGTATTGAGTCTCTTGGCAGGATCTTTGATATGGACATTTTCTGCGGTGCAATTAGCACATTTAGCGTATTCTTTCTCTTTCGGTGTAGGGCAATCCCCTGTATCATGAGATCCAGCGCAGTACGCGCAGCAGATCTGGCGCTGACAGTGCCTGGCGATATGTTTATACATCTGACACTTGAAGCACTGCTGGAGATTGGCTGCTTTGTCGTATATTGAGACATTGTGCTGTCTTCCCTTAATAATAAGGCCGCGTTGGATTGCAAAATTAGCAATCCTTTCATCATCAAATATGACTACAAGGTGGGCATTTGTGAGCTTCTGTTCCTTGATCTTATACTCGCTTAGGAGCCAGCCCGTGTGTGTGACATTCATAGAGGCTGGAAGCTGCGCGAACACCGGGGCGTTCTCTGAGGTAAGCGTGGTTATGAATTGAGGCTGTTTGGGGTTGATATTCGTGTTGACGCCGTGTACGACGACGCCCCATGTACGTTTTCGTATACGTGCTTCGTTTCCGAATGCCCTAATCCAGTCCTTCTTGCGGGTAAGCTGGTCGACGTCGTCCACTGTGCCTAGTAAGAGTATAATATCGCCACTAGGTAGTATACGGGCTGCCGCAATTCGTCGATGTGCGATGGTGGTGTCTTGAGTGCTGCGTATTGCGAGATTTGCCTTCTCCACCACCTTATCCGGGAATCGACGTATCGGGTTGAGGATATTTGGATCGGTATGTTCCAGATAGACCTCTAGGTCCTCCTGGCTTGGATATGGGGTTGATGGCAAGCTTCCTCCACTACTCAATCCCACGCTAGGGACCGTGGGAGGGTTCGAGGGCACCTTACGTCCCCAGGCCTGTACGTACGACTCTGAGCTAGTTGTCACGTGACTGAAGCTTGGAGAATTTTTCGCGGTACGTGTCCCTGGGGATGTTGGGTGGCATATTGCCTCCACCAGGCGGTTCGTGTTGCTTTTGGTCGTAGTAATCTCTCGAGAGGCCTGAGATACCTCTTTCTGCGTCTTTTCCACGTGTAATTCGACCTTCGCGAGCCGCTGCGCTAGTTGCTCATTCGTAGGCGTATTCTTCACCCTTCGAGCCAGGTATAAGAACGCGTCAACCACGGAAGTAGAGAGCTCACGGGGCATGCCAATCTCCAGTGCTTCTTGGTGCTTCTTCAGTGCCTCGAGATCTTTGATGGCTGCAGCTACATATGCGCGTATATCAGGGTCATCTGCAAACCGTGGTTCTGGCCACGGAGTGCCCTTTTTACCTCTTTTCGGGCCCATGCTTCAACCGCGTCGATTGAGCAGGCGAAAGTTGGTAAATATACTGTCAAGGAGGTCTATTTTCACTGAGATTCTTTCCAGCAGTACTTTTTACCTGCGTGGGTGCGTTTTCATAGGTGCGCGAGGTTTTTTTTTTATTGCCACGGCCGACGGTTGATTTGGCCAGACGAGCCGAGCCTGAAGGACACCCTAGTGACGAAGCACTATTTGAATGCCCCGAAGAGAATACTGAAACGTATCAATGCGGATCCCAAGCACCAGAGGGATGCTGCTATATCTGAGTACGGCATCTTACCGGAAGATATATTCAACTTTGATGAGACTGGCTTTGCTATGGGACTCTGTGCAACTGCAAAGGTTATTACTGGAAGCGATCGATATGCTCAGCCGAAGCTTTTACAGCCTGGAAATCGAGAATGGGTGACTGCAATTGAGGCAACAAATTCAACTGGATGGGCTGTGCCTTCGTACGTGATTTTCAAAGCAAAGAAAAATGTACGAGAAGGCTGGTTTGATGATCTTCCAGATGATTGGCGAATCAATATTAGCGATAATGGCTGGACTACAGATCAGATAGGATTAGAATGGCTTAAAACCCATTTTATTCCCTATATTAATGGTCGTACGGTTGGAAAATATCGAATGTTGATTCTTGATGGCCATGGAAGCCATTTGATGTGACATTTGCTCAGGCCTAAACTCTAGGGTAGCTCATCTTCAAGAAACTAAGCATACAGAAAAGAAGGAGAAAGGAAGAATCTGTGTGTGAGCTCGCTACAGCCCTTTGTAAGCGCGTATCGTCTCGTCGGTGCCTAAATAGGAAGTCGTAACAACAAAGGGATATCCCGTTGTACGGCCAGCTAGGGCTTAGGGCTCAACGAGACCACGGAGCGGCACTACAAAGGACCGAGCTCACACGACAGCGATTCTTGCAGCCGTCACATTTGACACCAGAATTTGACCATATATGTACTGAGAATAATATTATTCTAGTCTGTATGCCACCTCATTCTTCGTATCTCTTACAGCCTCTTGATATTGGCTGTTTTGCTGTTTTAAAGCGACATTATGGGCAGCTTGTTGAGCAACGAATGAGGCTTGGTTTCAATTATATTGATAAAATGGACTTCTTAACAGCATTTCCACAGGCTCGTACAGTGGCATATTGTCGGAACGTGAATATCAAACCCTACGCGTTTCGGCACCGGACTACTTAGTCTCACGTGGCACGTGCGTGCCGCGTGTAAATCTAACTAGCTATCCCCCGTTCCCCCTCGTTCTTAGGAATCAGTCACAATATTAGGAATCAAGATATCTTCATATTGTCAGGCTCATTAGGCCGCTTCGTGTTCGCGCCTTACTACCGTCTATGCTTCGTGATACGGACCGTAGTTAAACCGACACATATAAAGCTCAAACTATTCGGAATAGCTTCGCAGCCACTGGATTAGTGCCTTTCAATCCAGATCGAGTTATACAATAGCTTAATATTCGATTGAAGACACCAACCCCCCCTCCAAGTCGATCAAGCAATACGGCATCATCCTGCTTACAAACACCTCAAAATATACGCCAATTTATACGCCAGTCGACTACAATCAATAAACGTATAAATGAGCGTACAGAAAGCAACCAAAATCAAGAAATCAATCAGGCAGTTGTACGGTTGTCAAAAGCCTACGAAATGATAGCGAATGATGTTTTACTCGTACGGAAAGAGAACTACGATTTACGAGCTGCACATGAGAAAGAGAAGCAAAAGCGCCAAAAATCTAAAAAGCAAATATCTATTGAGCAAGGGGTTACTAAAGAAGAAGTGCAAGCGCTCGTACAAGGTCAGGTTGAGGCATCCCATGCTGTTACTACTACTCCGGCTGAGCCGGAGCTCCCAGCTTCTCAAGCAGTCGTACGCCGCCAATATCGCTGCAGTGGTTGTAACGTTATGGGGCATAGAATTAACCAATGCCCTAGTCGTATTAGTAGTTAGATTTTTGTATATAATTTGTATGTGGCTTTGAAAATTGGGATTTGAAATCAATATCGCGTACGCGCTCGGGAAAAAATGCCGGCTCGGTAGTGGTGCCGCTTCGGTGGTGAATTACGTTATATCAATACTACTACTACTACTATCCTTTCTAGCCACTGTAAGCCGATTTCATCAGATGTCCAGCCATTTGAAGAGTGCGTAATTGACCAATCAGGGGGAAGCTTTGGGCTTGTATACCTCTCAGCTCTGTTGGTGCCGGATTTGAATATAATCAGGGGAGGCACCATAGTGCCGGTGCTTCCAACGCACTCAACAACAGTAACCCATTCACGATTTCCTGGCTGAATGAGGCTAGTGTCGGAACGTGAATATCAAACCCTACACGTTTTGGCACCGGATATAGTTAGTCTGACGCGGCACGTGCGTGCCGCGTATATCTAGCTAGCTATCCCCGTCCCCCTCGTTCTTGGGGACAAGTCACAATATTAGGAATCAAGATATCTTCATATTGTCAGGCTCATTAGGCCGCTTCGTGTTCGCGCCTTACTACCGTCTATGCTTCGTGATACGGACCGTAGTTAAACCAACACTGATCAGTGAGGCCCACAGATCAGACCTTACCCCTATTCTCACTTATTCGAATCCCCCTTCGACCTCGCGTCGATTACCACCCTGCTGCGCCGATATACGCACCAAATCTCTTGCTCGTGAGCTCTTAGCTGAGTCTCATAAACCTTACGAATCCACCCGTACGAACCTACGTACGAAACCACCTTCGACCCCGAGTCGAATACCCCTCTCAGTGCGCCGATATACGCACCGAATAACCGACAATATGGCACCCACGGATTATACAGATTTTGATCCGAATGGCAAGGACCGCAAGACAATCGAACCATGCGTAATAACACGAACAAAGATCTACACCGATCTGTACGACGACGACCTATGGTTTACCTTCAAAGATGATTTTGGAGACTGGACTACAGATAACCTTTGCAAAGCGACCGTACCAGTCCTTGGAAAACTACGTGACGTACTGCGAACCAATGGTATATATGTACCAAAGGGTGGACACGCAGGAAGAGTATTAGCGAACACACTGACTCTTCCAGAACCACACGAATGGACTGAAAGTGAAGTTGTTGAACACATACAGCTTAAAGGGACCTTCAATTCCCCATTTATCCAGTTGAAGTTCGCTGCCACAATCAAAAGAATCAACGACGCCGCAAATGTGACAATACAAAATAATGCTCAATTCGTGCAAGAAGATACCCCCTCTCCACCGTCAACGAACCTACACGGCATGGTAACAAGAATGAGAGCATCCGCAGGTGGCCTACAAGATATGACACCACACGCTGAGACGGCACCACCGACACCGACACCACCGGCGCCGCAGGCACCACTAGTACAAGTAGCGACACCTACCCAAACGGCAACATGGCAAGGAACGGGATATGTGCCAGCAATCCGCGACCAAGAAAGAACGTATTCGCAGGTAGGACAATTTGCACCGTTATATGTCAACAGCATCGCACAACTTCGGAAGGTGTACACTACAGATAGCACCAAGTACGGCGATAATGAAGACTCATTCGACCTAGCTCATAATATCTTCTTAGACCTCTGCCGCCAGATGGGTCTACATACCGCAGAAGCACGGAACCAGGCATTTTCAGTTATGCTCAAAGGACTCGCACTCGACTATTACTACACGTGGAAAGATCAATGGGAGCGCATGGGAATCGACCCCGCTGTGGCAGTCAAAAACCACTTCGAAAACGACGAGCACCTACGAAAAGTGCAGACTGACTGGGATGCGATAAATCTTTATACGGTAATTGTAAAGTACCCTGAAAAATCAACTACTGAATGCTTAGAGATGATGTTTCGAGATATCCAAAAGCTCTACCACAAATTGCGACCAGAACTACGAAACGAGGTTATTTGGCACGCAAAGCTCATTTCTGCTACTCGAACACACCCAGCATGTCATGCAGCAACTGGAAATCCCGCATCTACGATCCCTGGTCTCATGCAGAGCCTTCGAGGAAGTGTCAGCCAATTTGAAGACACTAAGCGAGCAGCGCAACAGCACTTCGCAGGCACATATAATACTGATCCGTATGACGTTCCACGAACGAACATGACAGAACGTCGCTTCTTCAACAATAATCTACGATACCAGCCTCAAAACCGCAGCCGCTTTACTCGGAAACCATCTCGTCACTTCAGAGGTCCCAGAAACGACAAAAAGACATGTTATATCTGCAAGAAACCAGGACACTTATCATATAACCACTCGGACGAGGAGCGCGAGGCACACAAGCGTGAATGGAATAAAAACAGATCTGGGAGTTATCAACAATTTATGGCTGAAATTGAGGGCTGGGAATATGACCCTGAATCAATTGAAGAACTAGCATCAAGTGGCGCTTATTTCGAGGATGACAGCAGTGATGACGAACCTCCAAGGACCAAGGATTCAATTACTTCCAAAGATTCAGCCAATAAGAATGCACCACTCCAGACTACCTCAACCCATTTTGCCAGCGCTTTCTTCACTACTGATGAGAAGCCAAAGGGAGAATTAGGAAAGTTAATTACTACAGAGTTAGCAAATCGAGCGACCATGCACTGCGTCAAAGCCCTGGCAACAAAGGAAGCACAAGATGGTGACAATATAGAGAATGACGTTGAAGAAACGATTGATACAAGCACCTACGTTTCGGCAAGCCGATACTCCGAAGAAACATGGCGAGGTATTCTCATTGACACCGGCGCTGCAGACTTCTCTACAGCCGGATACAGTCAATTTCTCGCATATCGGAAAGCTGTCAAGGGAGCCGTAATGGACACATCAACTGTCAATTCAGTAGGGATCAAATTCGGCTCAGGCGATCCCGTACGCTCAAAAGGCTCAGTCGACGTCGATACACCAATTGGCCGAGTCCGATTCCATATCCTTGAAACAATGACACCATTCCTACTCTCTATTAAAGACCTGGACAGACTGAACGTATATTACGACAACACCAAAGACCTTCTCATTGGCCCGAAAGAGAACATGACTACCCAGGTTATACGAAGATTCGGCCACCCATTCCTTATATGGCAGGAGACCTACGAATTATGCCTTATGGAATCACTTGACGAGAATCCCTGCTTCCTCACAGAAACAGAATTACGGCGCTTACACCGCCGATTCGGTCACCCCTCAACTGACAGATTCTACCGCGTTATCGAACGCGCAGGCCACGACGCTGACCGTGAAGCAATTGAGCATATTCGCAAATTCTGCCATCATTGTCAAATCCACGGTAAATCTCCCGGCCGTTTCCGCTTCACATTGCAAGACGATATACATTTTAACCATTCAATTATTGTTGATATTATGTATATTGATGGTAAACCTGTACTTCATATTATCGACGAAGCAACACGTTTTAACGCCGCACGTTGGCTACCTAATATATCTTCAAGCGCAACATGGGACGCCCTACGTGCCGCATGGATTGATACGTACCTAGGACCACCAGATCTCATTGCAACTGACGCTGGAAAGAACTTTGTGAGTAAGGAATTCTCACAGCTCGCGACATCTATTGGCACCACTGTCAAGAGCGTTCCTATTGAAGCTCATTGGTCAATTGGCATGGTTGAACGCTACCACGCCGTACTACGTCGCGCCTATACCATCATCTCCGACGAATTGCCAGATCTACACCCCGATATGGCGCTACAAATGGCCGTAAAATCTGTCAACGATACTGCCGGCCCCAATGGCCTCGTACCCACGCTTCTCGTATTTGGTGCCTACCCACGACTTACGCAAAACGACGCACCAGCAATATCAGTTGAACAACGTGCTACTGCACTCAAGAAAGCAACTGCTGAGGTACGAAAATTGTACGCACAACGACAAGTAAGAGATGCACTCAATACCCGTAACGGCCCGTCAACTATAGTGATCCATTCGCTACCACTTAACTCGAACGTCCTTGTATTCAGAGAAGGAAATACCGGCTATGCTGGAAAATGGGAAGGCCCATACAAACTATTAGAAGTCAATAACGAGACCTGCACAGTCGCACTTCCAAGTGGCCCAACTCAATTCCGCTCAACCGTTGTAAAGCCATACTATGCCGAGGACATGCCACCTGAGGATATTGCCACTACTCTAGACCATGATAACGCACCTGAACCCCCAACACAAGGAAATGCACTCCTACCGCCATCGACTGTCAAAATCCCCTCTCAACGACCGCAGCGCAACCGTCAACCATCCGCTCGATACCGAGATGACGATTTCGAAGCATACATCAACAATAAGGAGATTACTCAACCTCGAGCTGACTTTGACGAGGTATTGGAACAAACAAGATTTACTGACTCACGCAAGCAAGAGGTGGATGGCCTATTGGAGAGAGGTGTCTTCCACTTCGTGCATGAGAATGAAGTTCCCAAAGGTGAACGTATTTTCAACTCACGATTTGTGGATGAGATGAAGAATTCTGGCACCGACAAGGCCTTTGAAAAATCGCGACTTGTTGTGCAGGCTTACAATGACGAAGGGAAGGACTTCATATTGACTGAATCACCAACTATACAACGCTGTAGTCAGCGCCTGATTCTATGCCTGACTGCCTGTATGGTTACTCACTCCCTATGGCTACGAGACGTTGTTCAAGCGTATATTCAATCGCAAACGTATCTTAACCGTGATATCTTCGTACGACCGCCACTAGAACTCGCCATCCTTCTTTCACCAGGCACACTGTTAAAAGTCGTCAAGCCTCTATATGGGATCCCCGAATCAGGCAATCACTGGTTCAACACGTACCATAGCCATCATACAGAGAAACTGCAAATGGAGACGTCAACCTACGACCCGTGCCTCCTGCATTGCACTAATTCTAGTAATGGTTTTGGTGTTGTTGGCATGCAAACTGACGATACCCTCATCCTTGCTGACGAAGCTTTCGCCAATCGCGAAGAGAAGGAAATTAAGGCTGCCAGGATACAGTGTAAACCTCGTGAACGACTTTCGCCTACAAACCCCTTGAAATTCAATGGTGGCCTCATCTCGGAGACAGCCCAGGGTATTTTGCTCAACCAAGAACGCACCTGCAGGCTAATACAAATTGTGCAAGAGCAACATGCTAATACGACAAGTTCCCGGGGAAAGATCCGCAAGAATGTATCGCCAAAAGAGCAGTACGTATCTCAACGAGCGCTCGGTGCCTATATCGCTTCCTTGACGCAACCGGAAGCCGCATTTGACTATGCCTTTGCAGCACAGAGTACAGATCCACAGAAAGAGGACATCAAACTCCTCAACAGGCGCTTGCAATGGCAAATCGACAACCCATCCCGCGGCCTGAAGTTTGTCAAACTTGATATCAACAGCATCAAATTATATGCCTTTGTTGATGCGGCATTCGCTAATAATAAAGACCTCTCGTCACAAATTGGATTCGTTATCGTACTCGCTGACGCTTCAAATAACGCGAATATTGTACACTGGTCCTCGGTCAAGTGCAAGCGGATAACGCGTAGCGTACTAGCTTCGGAGCTATACGCCATGGTTAACGGCTTCGATTTTGCTGCCTCTATCAAGGCAACGATTACGCAGATTCTGCACCTCGAGAACCCGCTTCCGCTAGTGATTTGCACGGATTCGAAAAGCTTATATGACTGCCTCGTGAAGCTCGGTACGACGCAAGAAAAGCGGCTCATGATCGACCTCATGTGCCTCCGCCAGTCATACGAGCGTCAAGAGATTACAGAAGTCAAATGGATAGATGGCAATAGCAACCCTGCCGACGCCATGACAAAGAACAAAGCATGCAACGCTTTGCAGATCCTTGTTGATACGAATAAGCTACATATCACTGTCGACGGCTGGGTAGAAAGGTCTACCACGACACCGCAAAATCGCGCGATCAAAGCAAATTCGGTGGCATTCGCAAATCCCCAATAATGTCCCGAATCCTCGTGTCTAACCACATTTTCTTTTGCTTCATTCTTCCCGCATGTACAGAAAGCATTTATGTATTGTTTACTGCACCATTCCCTACACCAATCCGTTTGTTTTATCAACCCGGTGCCGCTCGTTATTTTTCCTATTTTTAGAGAGTTGCCAGTGTCGGAACGTGAATATCAAACCCTACACGTTTTGGCACCGGATATAGTTAGTCTGACGCGGCACGTGCGTGCCGCGTATATCTAGCTAGCTATCCCCGTCCCCCTCGTTCTTGGGGACAAGTCACAATATTAGGAATCAAGATATCTTCATATTGTCAGGCTCATTAGGCCGCTTCGTGTTCGCGCCTTACTACCGTCTATGCTTCGTGATACGGACCGTAGTTAAACCAACAGCTAGGTTTTCCTGAACGATCTGAGCTGCATATAACTTTTGCTGTAGAAGAGATCCCCATGGCGAACCCTGTCTCGTCAAAGTTGTATATATCTTCATCGGCAATCCCATATTCCTCTTTGAGCTGCTTGATCTCCTCAAAAAAGCCACCAATAACGACTGGATCCTCACAAAGAGCTCTAGAATAGGATAATCGGCGTGCGAATTTAGCCTTGAGATCCGGTTGTCGCTTAAGAAAGGTTGTTACCCAATTCTTACCAACCTTCTCAGGTATTTTGGTAGGATCTCTTTGAGCTAGCAAAATATTTGCCATTTCATGGAGCATATGCTGCCTAGGCGGAACGCCACGGCGCTCTAGTGAGAAGACCCAACCCCGGAGTACAGCTTCTTCTGTAGGGGTCATCTTTCTGCGTGTAATACCGGCATTATGCGCTGGAACTGAGCCCTTCAGGCGCCTTCGCAGTATTGTTAAAGATACGCCAAAAGTGCGTGCGGCGTCGCGTAATTTCGTGATTTTCGTTATTCAGCGCATCAATAGCAAGAGAAAGCCTCCCTTCATAGCTAGGATCATTTTTCGTACGCGATTTAACCATTTTTTAATGCTGTTGGTGAGAAAACCTCGCGCACCTATGAAAACGCACCCACGCAGGTAAAAAGTACTGCTGGAAAGAATCTCAGTGAAAATAGACCTCCTTGACAGTCTATTTACCAACTTTCGCCTGCTCAATCGACGTGGTTGAAGCATGGGCCCGAAAAGAGGTAAAAAGGGCACTCCGTGGCCAGAACCACGGTTTGCAGATGACCCTGATATACGCGCATATGTAGCTGCAGCCATCAAAGATCTCGAGGCACTGAAGAAGCACCAAGAAGCACTGGAGATTGGCATGCCCCGTGAGCTCTCTACTTCCGTGGTTGACGCGTTCTTATACCTGGCTCGAAGGGTGAAGAATACGCCTACGAATGAGCAACTAGCGCAGCGGCTCGCGAAGGTCGAATTACACGTGGAAAAGACGCAGAAAGAGGTATCTCAGGCCTCTCGAGAGATTACTACGACCAAAAGCAACACGAACCGCCTGGTGGAGGCAATATGCCACCCAACATCCCCAGGGACACGTACCGCGAAAAATTCTCCAAGCTTCAGTCACGTGACAACTAGCTCAGAGTCGTACGTACAGGCCTGGGGACGTAAGGTGCCCTCGAACCCTCCCACGGTCCCTAGCGTGGGATTGAGTAGTGGAGGAAGCTTGCCATCAACCCCATATCCAAGCCAGGAGGACCTAGAGGTCTATCTGGAACATACCGATCCAAATATCCTCAACCCGATACGTCGATTCCCGGATAAGGTGGTGGAGAAGGCAAATCTCGCAATACGCAGCACTCAAGACACCACCATCGCACATCGACGAATTGCGGCAGCCCGTATACTACCTAGTGGCGATATTATACTCTTACTAGGCACAGTGGACGACGTCGACCAGCTTACCCGCAAGAAGGACTGGATTAGGGCATTCGGAAACGAAGCACGTATACGAAAACGTACATGGGGCGTCGTCGTACACGGCGTCAACACGAATATCAACCCCAAACAGCCTCAATTCATAACCACGCTTACCTCAGAGAACGCCCCGGTGTTCGCGCAGCTTCCAGCCTCTATGAATGTCACACACACGGGCTGGCTCCTAAGCGAGTATAAGATCAAGGAACAGAAGCTCACAAATGCCCACCTTGTAGTCATATTTGATGATGAAAGGATTGCTAATTTTGCAATCCAACGCGGCCTTATTATTAAGGGAAGACAGCACAATGTCTCAATATACGACAAAGCAGCCAATCTCCAGCAGTGCTTCAAGTGTCAGATGTATAAACATATCGCCAGGCACTGTCAGCGCCAGATCTGCTGCGCGTACTGCGCTGGATCTCATGATACAGGGGATTGCCCTACACCGAAAGAGAAAGAATACGCTAAATGTGCTAATTGCACCGCAGAAAATGTCCATATCAAAGATCCTGCCAAGAGACTCAATACGAAACACTTTGCGTACGCGAGGGAGTGCCCGATACGAGCTACATGCCTCGCAGAGGCACATCAACGACGTACATACGGCCCACAATATCACACTCCTGTGATACGACCTGGCAATAGTCAGCCCGGAGCCATCTCACCAAATGACCCTACACCAGCTGAAGCAGCCAATACAGAGCGAAGTCCTCGCGCACCGGCTCGTACAGCCACCACACGTCGATCTGCCAACTCAAGAAGTAAGAGCGCAGCAGCCGCCCGAAAACGAGTGGCAGAACGATCTGAGCCCGAGCCGATAAGCCCTACATCAGGTGACCCTACCAATAGATCCTCGAAAAAGCCTATGAGAGCGCAGTGGGATAAAGATCTAGTTATAGATGCAGATCCTAATCCTGAACCTAAGACAGGACCTGAGACCCAGATCAAATATACATATAACACACGTGCACGTCAGGATACAAAGCCTCCACCAGGAACCCCGGTTCTGCAATCAGATATTGCTCCACTAGAAATTTCACATGTGCAAGCTGTTAGGACTGTCCGCCGAAGTAAGAGTGTGCGTACGATCCCAGACGATGACTCATCTGAGGATGAACTTACCCAGCCATCAATCCACGAAGCCCCTCAGGATCCAATCGAGCCAGCTCAGGAGGCTGATACGCTAATGACCACGAACCTTGAAGACAGCACCTGGGCTAACAATCAGTAATGTATCGTAACACCAATCGACTACAAATCCTGCAGGCTAACTGCTGGAAATCGCGGGACGAGGTCCAGATGCATCTCTTTGGTGAGAGCGAGGTGCAAAATTACGATATCCTGGCTATCCAGGAACCCTACATCAACAAACATACCGACCCACTAACAACATACTCACTAGCGCTCAAGGGCAGCTTCCATATCCTACTGCAGCCCACACCCAAGGAAGAATACAAGAAACGCCCACGAGTCTGTTTCTACGTCAATAGAGGGCTAGATCCAGCCACATGGGAGGTCCAATACCATAATAGAGATCTGAGCACATTGACACTTCATACAGCCGCCCATGGAACCATCCATATTCACAATGTATACAATCCAGGAGTCAATAGCAACGAGGAATCTGTAATTAGCGCCCTGCAAACCGCCATGGCACCTAGGGCGCAGCATATTGTATTGGGGGACTTCAACCGACATCACCCGCTGTGGGCGGGCCCGCGGTACCGACACGTTGACGAGGAGGCCACCGAATTGATTAATCTTATGGATGAGCATGGGCTCGAGCAGCTCTTGCCACCAGGCACGATCACGTACGAGAGGGTTAACGCCAAATCTACAATTGATCTGGTGTGGGCATCGCACAATCTAGCCAACCGGGTAGTGAGCTGCGACACCAAGCCAGAGTGTGGACGGAGCAGATCATGTCCCAATCTCCACTCAATTTGACCTTACAGCTATAC